CCTATAGTCTCCATGGTAGTTCCTCTTTGGGGTTACCTTATAGGATCCTGAATATATAACTGGTTAAGCCCAAAAAAGGAACTTCAATGGAGACTATAGGTAGAACTTGAGCTTAAGCTTATGTTGGCTTTGCGGCTTAGTCTAAAGCTTCTGAAACACTTCCTCGTGCCAAGGGTTCGAAGCAAGGCTACATTACTAGGCCCGCCCATTCCTTGCCAGCTTGCCTGTTGCAAGTAGAACTCCTGCATGCATCAGTCGAGAAATCTGGATCAGGAGTCTCTCACGTCCTAACCCGAAACCCTAAACGACAACCATGCGGGGATTACAGTCGCAAACCTAGACACCAGGACTTTTCGAACGTCGCAACGGATGCTTTCGTGCGTTGATTCTTAGTCGGCTCTGCTGTACATACATCATACATATCTCAACTCATCTGTCTATGCATTGAGGTACTTGCACAGGTGACACGCCCATGATCCCAAGTAGGAGTCGAGATGCATCCTCAACCCCTGAGGTCTCCAACCGACTCGACTTGTCTGACTAAGCCCTGAACTTACAGAGCGGGATTCATATCGGAGCATTAATAGTTCAATAGGGTTTTGGGGCCCATTATACCACAGTTATAATAAGGAACCCCCCAAAATAGTATAGGTAATTATTTAGGCCCCTACATTGGAGTTCAGAGTGGAGCACAAGCACGATACATCCTTCGCCCCAATGCTGATCTCCAGCCCTTGCGTGCCCGTGAAGCAGACCACCTTGGACTTTGAGATTTCGATTTGGGCGCCACCGGGGGAGGGTCTTAGTCGGGTCGAACACCGGGGCGTGCTGTAAGAAGGAACCCTAAGGCATAAGCTTGGTAATATTAGTCAGGGTTCTATCATACAGGGGCCTAGAAAATTACCTATATTATTTTTGTGTTCCTCATTATACTTATAGTTTAAGGTGCCCCAAAACTCTGTTCTAATTCTTAAGGTGTAGGCTGTCGGGGTTTAGGAGATCTCGGGTTTCGTGGATACAGTTTAGGGCAGCCTACTGCGCAGTGGAGCTTAGAGGCTTCGGGTGCAGGGCCAGAACCTCTATGTAGGGGCCTTCGTACTTAGAATAGGGTTTTGGGGCCCATGAAACTATACTCATAAGAAGGAACCCCAAAATAGTATAGGTGACTATTAAGGCCCCTATATAAAATCGTCCCTTCCCGATGCGCTGCAGTTTAGCGGCTGACAGAAGCCACGCCAGAGCAAACTTTCGCCACTCCTTGCCGGACACCTCATGCCTTCAGATGTTTGGTCAGATTGCTTTTAGGGTGCTTCCAGGGATTTGATAGGGGAGTTTCCGAAAATAGGGGGTACTTTATTTAATGAGGATCCTACCATTTAGGGTGCTATATTAGGGTCCCCTATTTTCGGAAACCCCCGTATGGGCCTTACTTAATGGTTCTCAAACGTTGAGGGAGCACTTTACACTGAGGAATTGCGACTCAGGCTTCGGGATCTTCGGGGTCTAGGGTTTAGGGGTTTAGGGTTTAGGGGTTTAGGGGTTTAGGGGTTTAGGGTTTAGGGTTTTGGGGTTTTGGGTTTAGGGTTTAGGGTTCAGGAATTTTTTGGGGGGGTGCTGTCGATTTGTTATCGAGACCTCGCAACAAAATCCTCCGAAGCCTCCGAATAACTTCCAAGGGCCCGCAGCGACGTGCAAAACCCTTGCGAAAACGGCGTGTGGAGCACTTCTACACCCTCATAAAGACCTCTTATCTGGCCCTTTAAAACCTCATGAGCCACCTAGTAAGGGCCCCCCTTCGAAAACTCCCAAGAAGTGTTCTTTTAGGGTTCCATCGCAATCTTTCCAGGGTTCACAAGGCTCCTTAGGGTTTAGGGTTTATGGCTTAGGGGTTTTACAAAGGCGGCTTGTAAGGCCCTCTGCTGCCAGGTCACCAGTTCACCTCGAAGTCGGCAACGAACTCGTGCCTGTAGCTTGGGAAAGTCCCCGAACGCTAAAAACCCTATGTGCGGATGTAACGGCTCTAGATGTACTTGAGTATGGCCGCGTGTCTGTGTACGTATGTATGTGTGCATTTGCAGCTTCGCACAAGAATGCGCAATACGTGTGTGTGTGTGTGTGTGTGCGTTTGCGTTCACAAAGATCTCTGTATCTCGTTTGGTAGGTATACTAGTATACATATAGATATCCTTACGTCTATCTATCTATTACTATATATTATATTATATTATATTATATTATATTATATTATATATTATATTATATATTATATTATATATTATATTATATATTATATTATATGTTATATTATAGATTATATTATAGATTATATTATATATTATATTATATATTATATATTATATTGTATATTATATTATATTATATTATATTATATTATATTATATTATATATTATATATTATATTATATTATATATTATATATTATATATTATATGTTATATATTATATTATATTATATTATATTATATTATATTATATTATATTATATTATACTATATTATATTATATTATATTATATTATATATATAACCATACAGATAGAGCCCCACCCACACACCTATGCCCACACTGGGGATCTCACAACCAGAGACCGATAACCCCTACCACCAAACCACAAACCCCGAGATCAGGATTCATATCCTTTTTAGGGTTTAGGGTTTAGGGCTTAGGGTTGGGGTTTAGGGTTTGGGTTTAGGGTTTAGGGTTTAGGGTTATCCAAGCACCCCTCAACTTCTGAAAACAACAACGACCCGGAAACCCCCACCTAGCCCACATGGTGCGGGTGCAGGGCGGGAGTCTCTCTTCTAAAATCCGTCCCTCCTCGAGTCATCATACTCTGATACGAATATACCACAAGACATTGCAATGTCTAACGCTCTAACATGGGATCTGGGCCCAGGACGACTGAATCGGCCAGGCTGCAAACGTTCGAGTGACAGCTTTAACTGCTCGGATTGCCTCAGGGACTCCAGCGGTAGCCAAAAAGGAAAGAACTGAACCCTAAACCCAAAGCTTTTAGGGCTTAGGGGCTAAGCCCCATAGAACCCTTAAGGGTTACGATAAGGGAGACCAAAAGGGGTTACTAGAATGCCAGCAGGTTTACGACCTTCGACGATTTCGGGTCTCCGGTTTGGGGTGCTCTTCAGGCCTCGAGAGGTCGAAATCCCAAAGCCCGTCCGCAGGGTGCTGCCTATCATTGAGATAGTCGAATAAGTCGAATCATGCATCACAGGTTGCACACCCTGGTTCAGACCTCAACCAAAAACACGCCCCAAAAAAAGAAACGCCCCAATCCACACAATCATATCATGGGCGGGTCGTTCTACGTATTGTCTTCGAAATCACCTCGAATAGCAGCAGGCAGAGGCAACAAAGATCCACCCCCTCACGTAGAACTGAAACACGAAACGCCCTCACCTCCCTCCATTGTTGCTAGAAAGTGGTGGATCCGAGTTAGGATTGGGTCTACTTTCCTGTTCCCTATCACTGCAAGGAACCCGAATACTCAACCCCAATGTGGTTTTCTCGCATAAAAGCTGACAGCAGCTCAGAGAGCCCTGCATCATTGAACTAGCTGGCTGGGCAGTAGCTTGCTCGGCGTCGTAGCTTTGTACCCTACAGCTCCTAAGTGCGCCAAGGCTTTAGAAGCGCGAAAGGGTGCTCGTTGTGTAGGGTTCTGCTGCCACAGCTGGCTTACTGCTTGATGGCCAGGTGTGAGAAGATGTAGAGTTTGGCCTCTTTAAAGAATTCGAAGTGGCTTCTAACAGGGCACACCGACATCCGAAGGACCCGTAATACTTGAACTAGGGTTCCGGGGTATGCTACGGCATAGTTCTACAGGGACTAAGAAGGGATACTCTTGCAAAGAGTTCAGACCCAGTTATCAGCCTCGAACTTTCGACCCAAAGCCCAACAGCCGAGCAGCAGAGAACGCTTCAGAAGGCAAACGCAGCAGATGGCCACGAGGCCATAAATCATACTGGAGACGACCTGGTAAAGCCCCAAGGCTTCGAATCTAGGTCTGAGCTGTGGCCATTGCAGCAGCAACAGCAGTGCAAGATGTTCGCCATCCACCGCTTTTGCCACGTGGCTCTCCATGATTCCTGCGCTTATCTGCTCCCTGATCTGAAACCGTGTTGGGTCTTGTTAGCGCTAGCGTTGCTGGATGTGATTAAGCTTAGGATCCTTACCAGAAGACCCCCGGTACAAACCTCCGAAAGCCGCCCCGCCGAAGCCTCGGAAGCCCCTGAGGCCGAGAGGCGGAGAAGCTTAAGCTTCGGCTGCTGGATGTGTAGCCGAAGGCCAGGAAGGCAATCGTGGAAGCCACTTGACCTGAGATGTCGATACAAAAGGTGGAAGTAGAATTCAGGAACTTCTGAGGGTTTAGGATTAGGGGGATGTGGGGCTTGGGAATTTAGGGTCAGGGCGGGATTCAGGAAATACGGTATGTTTTCTTCGAATCGACACGAACCGGGAGGGTGCTTCTGGGGCTTGTGCGCTTGGACCTCTGCTCTGCACATCAGCGGCTTAAGTCATAGGCTTAGGGTTTGGGGTTTGGGGTTCAGGTTTCGGGATTGGGGCTAGATCTCTTGTTGAGAAAGCTTCTTTGCCTACGTCTCCTTTTCGAGGAGAAAGACCAGGCAGCAAGGCTTGGGTGTAAGCGAGGGCAGCTGCTGAAAATGCTAGATCACCTACTAACTCCCCGATCTCTGTCCAAGCCGAGGCCTTCGAAAATACGCCAACGAGGCCCCGCCCGTGATCATCGTTGCGTAAAAATATCTTTTGTGGATTAGGGTTTAGGGTTCAGGGTTTAGGGTTTAGGGTTCAGGGTTTAGGGTTTAGGGCCTGAGCAAAAACTGTCAACGGTTTCCCCCGGAGAGCTCTGGACAAGTTTTTTGGCTGAGATGCACGTGAGACGACAGATGCACGATTGGGAACACCTTCGCTACTCATGTTTCTATTCCTTCCTAGCGAACCCAAATCAAAACTTGCAGGTCAGACCACGAAACCTTGCCGGTCTTTCCTTTCTGCTTCCCTTCTTTCCACTCAACTCCTTTCCAGGTCCCTCCTGTAGGTGCCCCGCCCAGCGGAACACTCAAAAATACCTAGGCCCGTCAACAGTGTCCGAATTAGTGGCGGTGAGTTGCCAAAACCAAACGGAACCCGTCATCTCTCCTGTCACAACACCTTTGCCGGTCGGTTCATCTGTCGTGTCCTCCTATGGCACCCGGGGTTCAAGTAGGTCAACCTCCTGTCTCACTCCTGCTCATGCATGGCAGGGTGCAAAACGTCAACAACGCAATCAAGTAGTACACCGCCTGCCAAGGGAATGCTTCTATACCATGGGACTACCACAAGATATTGTACTATATACTCAGAACAACATCAATAAGAATTCTAATATAACATGAATCACCCACAATAAGAATAGCAACAATAATACACGGCCGGTCTCAAGGTCCAGGGATCGGGGCTTCAGGGCTCAAGAAGGTGATCTCGAGCATCATCGAGCTCCAGGCCATGAACTTGGACTCTTATGGTATAGGGTTTAGGGTTTAGGGTTTAGGGTTTAGGGTTTAGGGTTTAGGGTTTAGGGTTTAGGTATATCTTAAAATGCATTTTATGGCAGTTCTTGTGCCTTGATAGTATTGTGGCATGAAAGTACCTCATATTAAATATAGCATCCCTTATAGTACCCGTGATTATACGGAACTGCGCTCAGCACTAGCAGTCGGGAACAAACCAGGCCGCTGGACATGCACCTTCTTCCACTCGTCGCGGAAGAAAACAGGACAACACACCAAGAAAAACACAAAACACCGAGCCATACGGATCACGGCGGTGAAAGTGTGGACGACATACTGCAGGCGAGACTGACGACAGGGGAAAAAAGCACAGACAACAACAACAACAACAACAACAACAACAACAACAACAAGAAGAGAAAGATAGCTGGACTACGAAGATGAGACAAGAACAAACGGAAGAAACAGCTGCTGCCTAACGTCTTGTGTTGCGCTGCACCGCTGCCGCTGCGCCTGCGCCGCCTGTGCCTTCTCCTGCTCCTGCGCCGGCGCCTGCACCTGCGCCTGCTCCTGCTCCTTCTCATGCGACTGCTACTGCTAAATACACTGCTAAATACTGCTACCTCTAGTACCGCTGCGACAACGACGACGACTACGACGACGACGGTTAGTGTTGCCTACCGAACCAACCACATCAGACACCGTTGTAGTACTGCTCGGCTGTTGCGATTAGTACAGCTGTTGATCACCATGAGTTGTCTTAATGTCAAACTAGAAAGGCTTCGATCACCACCGTTTTGTTACTAACACTATTTCCATCACTAGGACGAATGTACTCATACTGTAACTGCCTGTAGTATGAACTCCCACTACATTGAAGAACTACTATTCGTTTGCATTTTCTCTTCCTGTTGGACATCTCTACGTCTGGCTTCCGGGCACATACGAGACGCGGAGGGCATGCTGAAAGCAAGCGCCTTCGGTAGCCTCAAGATGGTGTTCGTGGCGTAGGGCCTCGGAAACAAGTCCATTGCAAGGCGTCCGGCATGTAGCGAAAAACCAGGAAATGCCCGTGTCCAGCCCGTAAGCTAAAAAGCTTCCCTGCAAAACCCCGTCGTTTGTTTGCATCTCCCCCTTTTTTGCACCTCCTTGGTTGCGGGTTCCCTGTCCGAGTAGCTGCAAGTCCCTCTCCTCCACGACGGTGTCAGATCGATTCGGCTGACCTTTGCGCGAGTCAAACATCGCAGCATGACAGCTTCATGTTTTTCATGGTGACTTCAGACTACCCACATAATTCAAGAGCCCATACTAGTTCGCGCACAACATACAAGGACATGTACGTGTAAACACTCAGACATGTAGAATGTAGACATAGTCATGCTGTCACCTTGGCTGAAAATACACACGGCTAGAGGGCCAGAAGGTGCGAGCTCTACGGTTCTAGCTTTCAGATATGCGCGGCGCCGGAGGGTTGCTGACATGGGGATGCACATAATGCATCGCCTAGTTTATTTGGGGGTTTGGCTGTGCATCATCATGAGGCCCTATCTGCAACACCCTCAGCGGGCTTGAAGTTCAGACTGCAGCCAGTCCACAGTCGACGGCCACGAGAATGCAGGCCTGTGAATCGCGAAGCATATCCTGCACAAGCACGAGCGATGCTCCGGGAGTTGAGTTCAGGATCTGGGCTGCTCCGAGCACGCGATTCGGTGGCTCATGGCATCTTTGCTACTGTTTTGCTCGTGCTGCGGTCGTTGTATTCACGGGAGTAGTCGTAGTAGTAGTAGTAGTAGTAGTAGTAGTAGTAGTCGTAGTAGTGGTAGTGGCAGTAGTGGTAGTGGCAGTAGTGGTAGTGGTAGTAGTAGTAGTAGTAGTAGTAGTAGTAGTAGCAGTAGTAGTAGTAGTAGTACTAGTAGTAGTAGGAGCAG